TACTTCACCACACTGGTCATCGCGGGTTGCACGTTGGAGCATAGAAGTGCAGTACAACAATGGATTTTGCTGCAACGCCCTCTACTGACCACCCACAGTCATGTTTGCAAGGTGGGGTGGGGGAGCGGTGGCGCAGTGGTTAGCGCACTCCGCTACTAAACTCGGGTAGCAGAGTTGGATTATCCGAACCACGTGCTGGGCCTCACCTCGGTCGACTCGGCCTTAAATGAGTACCCGCTGCAGGGAGTAAACATCCGGACTGGGAAGACAAAGGCGGCCGGGTGTGGTTGCTGGCCACCAACCCCCTCCGTGTGTGTCGTTCCGCCCTTCACAGGTGCTCGCTAACTGCACTTGCCCCTACAGTCTGTCGAAGGCCATACGGGGGATCTTTGTCTCTTTGCGTCCGATGTTGCCCATGGCAACCCTCTCTACAGGCTCCACACCCCGCTTAGCTTTCGAGCGAGGCCCGGTGCGTCCCGGCTGACGTTTCGGTCGCAGAGGCTCCAGCGGCCACAGTAACGTCAATCGCCGGCACGCGATGCGTTGTGACACGGGCAGCCGTGACACACGGGACAGCGGCACAGTTAGGAACAAGCGCATTCCACGTGCGCGTGTCTGTGTGTGTGTCTTTGTGTGTGTGTGTGTTTGTTCGTGTGTGTGTCTTTGTGTGTGTGTGTGTCTTTGTGCGTGAGTCTCGTTGTGTGTGTGTGTCTTTGTGTATGTGTGTCTTTGTGTGTCTTTGTATATGTGTGTGTCTTTGTGTGTGTATCTTTGTGTGTGTGTGTATCTTTGTGTGTGTGTTTCTTCGTGTGTGTGCGTCTTTGTGCGTGAGTGTCGTTGTGTCTGTGTGTCTATGTGTATGTGTGTCTTTTTGTGTGTGTGTGTATTTTTGTGTGTGTGTCTTCGTGTGTGTATCTTTGTGTGTGTGTGTGTGTCTTTGTCTGTGTGTGTCTTTGTGTGCGTGTATCTTTGTATGTGAATGTCTTTGTGTGTGTGTCTTTGTGTGTGTATCTTTGTGTGTGTGTCTTTGTGTGTGTCTTTCTGTGTGTGTTATTTGTGTGTGTGTCTTTGTGTGTATGTCTTTGTGTGTGTATCTTTGTGTGTGTGTCTTTGTGTGTGTGTGTCTTTCTGTGTGTGTGTTATTTGTGTGTGTGTCTTTGTGTGTATGTCTTTGTGTGTGAGTGTGTGTGTGTTGGGGAGCGGTGGTGTAGCGGTTAGCGACGCTGCGCTATGAACCCGGCGACCCGAGTTCGATTCCCGCTCACGGCCAACACCCAGTAACGATGATCTGAACCGGTCCTGGGCCTCCCCTAGGTCTGCTCAGCCTCAAATGAGTACCTCGTAGGGTGTGTAGTTAAAATCGCAACTAGGGAGTCAAAGGCGGCCTGGCGTGGTGCTGGCCACCCACCCCCTTGTGTGCCGTTCCGGACTTCATAGGTGCTCTCTAACAGCACTTGCCCCTACAGTCTGTTCAGGCTATACGGGGGATCTTTGTCTTTGTTTTGTTTATATGTCGTGGGGAGAGGTAGTGTAGTGGTGAGCGCGCTGTACTACAAGCCCTACAAGCCCTGCAACCCGAGTTTGATTCCCGCCTCTCGACCAATATTCAGTGGCGAAGATTTGATCCGGTCCTGGGTCGTCCTCCAGGTCGGCTCGGCCTTAAATGACTACCCGATGCGATGTGTCGTGAACGTGAGCACCGCTGCCCACACCACCCCCTCGTGTGCCGGCTACAACGGGGGCATCTTCGCCTTTGTAGACGTGTGTTGGCGCAGTGGCGAGCACGGAGAGGTGCATCTGCCTGTCATCTCAGCCAGCCAACCCTGAACACCTGTGCCTGCCCTGTGACCTCTTGCCAGCGGCCAGCCTTGCACACTTCACTCGGTGCCCTCGAGGTGCACGGAGCCTGGCACACGCGCTGCGGTCGCGTTCACCGCCAGCCAGGTAGTGTGGCGGTGAACCCGCTGTTCGCTGCGCGCTGAACTACGAACCCGGAGAACCGAGTTCGATTCCCGCTCTGAACCAGTCCTGGGCCTCCCCTAGGTCGACTCAGCCTCAAATGAGCACAGACTCTTTGGTTCTTTCGGTGAGGTCACGTAGGTAGAAAAATGAAACAAATATAAATATCGCGACGTTTCGATCGCAACGCAAGCGGTCGTCCTCAGGCGTAAACAGCAATCCAGCAGTAGAACTCCTGAACCAGGAAGAAACAGATCAAATGGGTACCTCGTACGATGTGTAAACATCGCCACTCGGGAGACAAAGCTGGCCGGGCGTGGCCCTGCCCACCATTAGGTGCTTGCTCACAGCACTTGCCCCATAATACAAAGGGGTTTTTTTTTTGGGTGAGAGCGCGTAAAAATATCAATGTGTCGTTAACCCCGCCACCACCCGACACAGCCAATTAGTAATGGTTGCCATGTAAACAGAACGTGGCCAATTCGTCAATAGTACAGCACACCGGTGTGTTGTAGAGCAAAGCCACAACATTTACAATCTGAGTACGACGTTTCGCCAGTTATTACACCTCGCTTCATCATAGTTCTAGCTTCATCATCGTTGTAATCACTGGCGAAACGTCGTACTCAGATTGTAAATGTTGTGGCTTGGCTCTCCAACACACAACCTGTTTACGTTCTGTTTACGTGACAAACCCTTACTAATTGGCTGTGTCTGGTGGTGGCGGGTTTAACGACACATTTATATATTTACGAGATCTAACCCAAAAAACAACCTGCATTATGGATGATGCTGGTCGCGAAAGCCTCCTACCACGTGTCAAGCAGCACTTGTCCCAACGATGGGTTCAGGCTATACGGGGGATCTTTGTCTTTGTTACATATGATATGCAAAATATGAGCGTGTGAGTGTTGTCAGAGTATAGGTGTTCTGTGTGTACTGCGTCTGGGTGTGCACGTGTACACGTGCACGTGACTGTGTGCACGTGCCCGTGTGTCCACCTTATCAGTTCATGTGTGCAAGCGTTCGTCGTGTATTTGTGTGTACAATGTACAGCATCTGCGCGCTTGTGTGTCAGTGTACATGTGTGGGCGCATGTGTAGTCGTGTATGTTCATGAGTGCACGTGGGTGCAATTGTGTACGTGTGTGTGTGTGTGTTTGTGCGTGATCTCTCTGTGTATCTGTTCGTGCGAATGTCTCTACATGAACACCACTGGACCCAACATCCGGTGCAGGCTATACGGGGCACGTAAACGTGTGTGTCTTTGTATATCTGTGCGACTGTTTACATATGTACGAATCTTTTTTAGGTTGTTGATGGCTACATTATATATTTTAGATACAATTATCCGTGTATGTGTGCGTGCGCATGCGTTATGCATACTGCATCGCGTATAGCGATCGGTGGCGCAATAGTGGCGACATCGTCAGCTCGAGGGCTTCCGACAATGGGTCAGATGCGGTCCCGATGTTGGATTCGTCTCAAACGGTGGTTATCAAGAGGGGGGGGGGCGGGGTAGGTACCCTGTGCCCCCCACATTCGTTACGCCGCTACGGAAACGAATGCACGCGCGGTCGTGTGCGTGCGTGCGTGACGTGATCGAGTGTGACCACGTCTGGGTGTGTGTCTTCGCACACGTGTGTGTGTGTGTGACTCTGTCTGGGGAGACAAAGGCGGCCGGGCGTGGTGCTGGCCACCCATCCCCTTCGTGTGCCGTGCTGGCATTCACAGGTGCTCGCTAACAGCACTTGCCACAACAGTATGTTAAGACTATACGGGGGGGTTTTGTCTTTATCTCTGTATGTGCGTCAATGACCATGTCTCTGTTTACACGTTTTTGTACATGCGTGTGTGTGTCTCTGTATGTGCGTCAATGACCATGTCTCTGTGTATATGTCTTTGTACATGCGTGTGTGTGTCTCTGTATGTGCGTCAATGACCATGTCTCTGTGTATATTTCTTTGTACATACGTGTGTGTCTCTGTATGTGCGTCAATGACCATGTCTCTGTGTATATTTCTTTGTACATGCGTGTGTGTGTCTCTGTATGTGCATCAATGACCATGTCTCTGTGTATATTTCTTTGTACATGCGTGTGTGTGTCTCTGCATGTGCGTCAATGACCATGTCTCTGTGTATATTTCTTTGTACATGCGTGTGTGTGTCTCTGTATGTGCGTCAATGACCATGTCTCTGTGTATGTCTTTGTATATGTGTGTGTCCCTGTATGTGCGTCAATGACCATGTCTCTATGCATATGTCTTTCTACATGCGTGTGTCTGTCTCTGTATGTACGTCAATGACCATGTCTCTGTGTATATGTCTTTGTACATGTATGTGTGACTGTGTCTATCTCTGTATGTCTCTGTGTATATGTCTTTGTACATATGTGTGTGTATGGGACAGAGTGTATTTGTGTGTATCTATGGACATGTCTCTGTTTATGTGTGTGAGAGAGATTGAGTGTACATGTGTGTATCCATGGACTGTCAAAATACGAACATGCGCTGAGCATACGCAATACACGTGTGTTTGTGTGTTCACGTGATTGTATGCTAACAGCACTTGCCCCAACATTATGTTGATGCTACATGGGGGACGGCTCTTTGTCTGTATTCGCGTGTGCAAACAGTGCAAAGATGAAGATCCCCCGTATAGCCTCGACGTACTTTTGGGAGCAAGTGCTGCTCGCCCAAGACTGATTCAGACATTCGTCACCGACGTTGTTGGCTGTGAGCGGGAATTGAACTCGGATCGCTGGGGCACCGTAGCCCAACGTGGCGACCACTCCCCCACGAAACAGAGACAAAGATCCCCCGTATAGCCTCAACGGACTGTTAGGGCAAGGGCTGTTAGCGAGCACCTCTACAGGCCCGCACGGCACACGAGGCGGTGGCTGGCCAGTATCACGCCCGATATCCTTTGTCTCCCTAGTGGCGATGTAATAATCACACCTTGTAGACAAACAGTACAACACACACACACGCGCGCGCGTCAATGAAAAACCCCCAAGCATGACCGTGGCATATTCTCTCTCACCTTGTGGGTCTTGTCCACCGCTTGTGAAATAAATAAAGAAAGCGAAATCACATATATAAGACGTCCGCCTCGGATGTTCACCTACACGGATGTAATGATATTCTCATTAAGTTGCAATTATGAATCGTTAGACCGATACGCTCACCGCCTCTAACGCTGACTCGCTCACTCAGCCCCCTTAGCTGTGGAGTGGAGAGTGTGTCGGTGTGTGTGTGTGTGTGTGGACCTTTTGTCCTATAAGCGCGCGAGTCAAGACCGTGCCCGGATCGACTCGCCAAACATCGCTCGCCCCGTGTTCTTCAATGCCCCACTGCCGTCTCCTCGTTTAGCTCATCCCGCTGCCTCTGTTGCTGCCGCTGCTGCTGCCGCTACTACTGCCGCTGCTGCTGCGACGGCTGCTGGCGACGATGCCGCTGCTGCGCCTCGCTGCTGTTCCACGCCGCATCATCATCGCCGTCGCCGCACGATTCCGACAAAGGCCGAGAGGAGACGAGGCAAGGGTGACCGGCGTCCCCAACATCTAGGGGCTCCGTGACGATCGCCTGTTGGGGCTGCATCGCATTCGCCTACGCGCCAAAACCCCCCAACCGCCCCCCCCCCTCCTCCACACACCGCATTTGGAGTACTGAGCGGGCGTGCTCACCTTTCCCTGTCTCTCCAACAACCCCACCCATCCACCACCAGCCTTGCCTGCTCAGTCACCCACCACCCACCCTCGTGCGCTCTTACCGTCAGCCGCAGCCTCTCCCGTGCTCTCTCTCTCTCCCCAACTCTCCCCCTCCCCTCTCTCCCCAACTCTCCCCCTCCCCTCTCTCTCCCCCTCCCCTCTCTCCCCCGACCACCACCACCAACCCGTCCGCGTTCACGGACTCATCGCACGCGCGTTGACGTCAGAAGGGGACCGACCACGGTGCCGAGGTAATCAGAGAGCGAGGCGAGAGCGGAATACTAAACGCGGCTTTCATTCACAAAATCCACGCGCGCGTGCCCGCGTCTCCGTGCGTGCGCGTGCGTCTGTGCGCGCGCGTGCGCGTGCGTGCGCGTGCGTCGCTGTTTGGGGAGCGGTGGTGTAGCGGTTAGCGCGCTACGCTGCGCTACGAACCCGGCGGTCCGAGTTCGAGTCCCGCTCACGGGCGACTCCGGTGACGATTTATCTGAACCGATCATGGGTCCTCCCCTAGGTCGACTCAGCCTCAAATGAGTACCTGGTGCGGTGTGTAGTAAACATCGTGTGCCGTGCCGGCCTTTATAGGTGCTCGCTAACTGCACTTGCCCCAACAGCCCGTGTAGGCTACAACGGAAGACCTTTGTCTTTGTTTGCGCACGCACAAGAGATAAAGGTCCCCCGTATAGCCTTCAACAGACTGTCGGGGCCAAGTGCCGTTAGCGAGCGCCTATTAAAGCCGGCACCTACGCTGCTGTTGTTGTTTTTTTACATCGAACGAGGCATTTGAGGCTGAGTCTACGTAGAGGGGATGGCGAGGATCGGTTCAGATCGTCGCTGTCAATGATGTTGGGCGGTGAGCGGGAATCGATTTCGGGTCGCCGGGTTCGTAGCGCAGTGCGCTAACCGCTGCGCCACCGCTCCACACAGACACACAGGCAAAGATCCCCCGTATAGCATTAACAGAGTGTGGGGCCAAGTGCTGTTAGCGAGCACCTATGAAGGCCGACACGGCACACGAGGGGGTGGGTGGCCAGCACCACGCCCGGCCGCCTTTGTTTCTCTAGTGACGATGTTTACACACCGCACCAGGTACTCATTTGAGGCTGAGTCGACCCAGGGGTGGTGTTCAGGACCGGTTCAGTATAATCGTCAGCGGTGTTCGCCGGGTTCGCAGCGCAACGCGCTAACCGCTGCGCCACCGCTCCCCACAGCATCACACAGACACGCGCACACACCCTGTGGCGAATGCAGTGGCAGTGTGTATCCTTTGTTTAACCAAGATATTAAATATAGGCGAGCTGAGACACGAGATACAATGCCTCGTTTACAAATGCGACCTGGGCTCGAATATCAATAGCACTGCCCTGCAAGGAAATATATATAATAGACAACGTTTCGGGCAAGGAGCCTTCATAGCACAACGATGGTCATGGTATGTTTGCTACAAAGATGGCTGTAATCGATGCTATGGTAACCAAAGGTCATTGCCCGAAACGTCGCCTATGATATTCAGTATGTTGTTGTTTTTCCCGTTTAGGGCAACGTTGTTGTTATTGTTGACGAATGTGCTCGGGTTTCTTTTGTTGCGAGTGTTTGTGCACCACCGCCGATGCAGCAGTAGCAGCAGCTACTGCCTTCAAAAGGTGCTCGCTAACAGCACTTGCCCCAACAATCTGGTAAGGCTAAACGGGGGATATTTGTCTTTGTTGTTCCTAATGTCGCATCATCGTCGTCATCATCATCATCAACATCTTCAATCGAATTGCGAGGAGTCTCAGAATTGAAGGAGGAAGCGTTCCGTCTTCAAAGGATGGAGCGGTGGCGCAGTGGTTAGGTCAGCGCACTGCGCTCCGTATGTAAGCCAGTGGCCGCAGAATTTTGAAGTTCGATGCCCGGCAAGGGCTACCATCAGTGGAGAGTGATACCTAAATCTGGACAGGTCATGGACCCCCCCCCCCTCTCCCCAGCCCCCCCCCCCCCCCCCCCACTCATGGACCTACCCCCCCTCATCTCAGCCCCCCCCCCTCATGGACCTACCGCCCCCTCTTCCCAGCCCCCCCGTGACCTCCCCCCCACCTCACTCCCCCACCGTTACCGATGATCACGTTGACGTTGCTGATGAGTATCACGTATAACTAGTTTCCCCTTCGCTATAAAGCATGGCCAGATGAAAACAAAGTATTCACAAAGCAATCATTTGTCAATCTACTGCTGGTTCAAGATGTCTCCCACACTCTAACTAAACTCTGCGACTATTTTTTATTTCACCAGGTAAGGCACACTGAGCTACACAGCTCTTATTCAGAAGCGACCTTGCTATCACAAATGATAGCTCAGCGAAGCGGGCTTATCACGTGGAAATTCATAGAAGCCAAATACTCTAAAGGCACGTTGTTGATTCTAAATGTGGAAGGGAAAACCCAGAGGACCCGGAGGAAAATGTTCGCGGCCACGGGGAGAGAGAGAAACACGCAAACTCCAAATATACAGCAGCAGGCGTCAGGGTCGGGATCGAACCCACGAACTCCTGTATACCAGGCGAGGTAGTTAACATCTCATAGCCACCGTGATGATGATGAGAGACACGCAAACTCCAAATATACAGCAGCAGGCGTCAGGATCGGGATCGAACCCACGAACTTCTGTATACCAGGCGAGGTAGTTAACATCTCATAGCCACCGTGATGATGATGAGAGACACGCAAACTCCAAATATACAGCAGCAGGCGTCAGGATCGGGATCGAACCCACCACCTCCTGTATACCAGGCGAGGTCCTTCACATCTCCCCGCCACCGCATAGCCGTGGTCGGAGCTTGTTTTGGCCCCTACCATACTTCACCACACTGGTCACTGCCGATTGGTGAGCCGGGAGGGAGCCATTGGTACGGGACACGTGTCACTCGCAGCCACTCACGTTCCAACAGCAACCGGGTTTGGTGCGTCTGCTGCACTAGCAGTGGTGCGAGAAGCGGAGCCAACAACTTGAACCCAAGGACACTACCTCGCTTTACCACTCTGCTCTCTCTCTCTGTGTGTGCTCTGAATGAGGACCATCGCCAGAAACGTCGCCTATTATATCCTCTGTTTAAGGCCACACAGTTTCACGACGTTTCGATCGCAACACAAGCGATCGTCTTCAGGTGGCTTTACCGAACGACCCATAGAATGATGTGTTCAGGTTTAAACTAGATCTATGAGCATGTTATACTGGCAGGAAACGTAGTGGACTGGAAGCCCAGTATCACAGGAGGCAGGGGATTAATTGTGTATGTCTGTGGATGTCGGTCCACGTGTATCCGGACACCCGGATAAAATGGGAGGGGTGGGGCTGGGTGGAGAGGGGAGGGTGGGGAGGGGCTGGGGAGGGGAGGGTGGGGAGGGCTGGGTGGGGAGGGTGGGGAGGGGCTGGGTGGGGAGGGTGGGGCTCGGTGGGGGGTGGGGAGGGTGGGGCTGGGTGGGGAGGGGAGGGAAGGGTGGGGAGGGGCTGGGGAGGGTGGGGAGGGGAGGGTGGGGAGGGGCTGGGTGGGGGGTGGGGAGGGTGGGGCTGGGTGGGGAGGATGGGGAAGGGGGGTGGGAGGGGTGGGGCTGGGTGGGGAGGAGCTGGTCACCCCGTGGTGCCCTTATAAAACTCAACGTTTAACCTACTCACGCCGGCTTGTGCCCACCATCACAGTCGGGCACATTGTGCTGAATACACCACGTGGTGGTGCCGCCGTTGTTGACCCTGGCCTTTGACCGAGCAACCCAACGTTCCTACCAGCTCCCTCCGCAGGAATGTATTTTTTTAATTTTACCAGGTATGGCCCACTCAGCTACAAAGCTGTTTTTTTTTTTTCCAGAAGCGACCTGGCCACAAATGATAGCTCAACGAAGTGGCTAATCATTATGTGGAAATGTATCGCAGCCAAAGACTTTAAACGTGTGACGTTGATTCTAAATGTGGAGGGAAAAACCGGAGGACCCGGACAAAACCCCACCTGTTTAAAAACAAAATAGTAAAGAGTCGCCGCGTAGTTATCCCCACTGGGGAGACAAAGGCGGCCTGGCGTGATGTTTTACCACATCAGTCCATCGTACATGTACGATTGACTGATGTGGAAAACAGCACTTGCCCCAACAATCTATTTAAGGCTATACGGGGCATCTTTGTCTTTCTATGTGCGTGTGTGGGGGAGGAGGGGGGGGGAGCAGTGGCGCAATGGTTAGCGCACCGAGACTCGAAACCCAATTCAACCGGGGGGGGGGGGGGGGGGGGTGGGTAAGAGCCGCGACGAGTGGCGAGTGAGATCCGAAATTTTTCTTTCCTTCGAAAAGTTTCGTCTCGTCCAGCGCGCGCGCGACTCTGCGAGCCTCCGTTTGGAGAGGCACTAACGAGAGCGTGGATCAATCCGTCCTTGAATGATTTGGGATTTTGTTTTCCTCCTCTCTCCCCCTCGCGCCGCCCCCCAGCCGGTTTAGATAAAGGACCATTAAACATTGAACAACTCCGCTCGAAGTGGCGCCCGTGTCCTCCTCCTCCTCTCTCCCTCTCTGTCTCTGTCCAGGTGCCCACCGATGTCTGCACGGCACGCTGAGCGCTCTTTCGCGAACGTACGTAGCCAACCGCGCCAATCGGAGGTTGGCGCGTGGGTAAGGACAACAAACTAAACACACAGCGAAGAGCAAGCTCTCAAGAAATGCGCTTTCAATGTAGATGCGTAGCCCCCGGTGGCTTCCTCGTATCGGAAGAGCGTTCCAGACGGCCGCAGGAGCGATAGCGGTGACCGCACTGCCTCCTGTTTGATTGTCGAGCCAGAAGCCGCTGCCGCTGCTTCGAGAATGAGCGGAGTTCACGCGATGGTGGTTCCTGCTCTTGGGCGAGATCATCAGCGAGGTATCGTGGTTCATTTGTGGCAAGCGCTTTAGGTGTGGAATGAGTGCGACCTTAGCATAATGTATTCGTTCAGCAAGCGAACCCTAACGCTCCACACAACGCCTAACACTGGCACCTAACCCTAGCCATAATATAACTCGAACTCTCCACATATCGCCTGCTACGGGTACATAACCCTAGGCGCAATCAAACCCTAACTGCTGTCTCAAAGCCCCTATGGCCACGGGACGCAGAATTCTCTCAACATCTCAGCCGAGATTCCCTCTTCACAAACAAAGCACAGCAGTCAGACCCCCGCTCGCATGCCAATTGGTAAAGCTCCCTCTCTCCCTCCCTCTCTCTCTCTGTCTCTCTCCGTCTCACTCTACCTGCCTAGCCCTACTATATCTCTCTTCCTATCTATGTACACACACAAACACGTGTTTTAATGCACACGTTTTTTTTTTTAACAAATGATCCCAATGTTCAATTCGGCGTAAAATAAAATTCTAAGAACATGAACCCTCTCTCTTTATGTTTTTTACGATCAGAGGAGACAAGAAGATGCTCGGTGTAGTCGGCACTTTGCTTCGTTCATCATTTCGGATTTTTAACGCTTTGCTTTATGTAACCCCCCCCCCCTTTTAAATGAAAGATTCAACAAAATATTTATCGCTCTGCTCTCCTTACCCCTTCCCTCTCTCTCTACCCCCCATTGTACCCCCCCCCCTCTCTCTCTACCCCTCCCTTCCTACTCCATGTCGCTCTCGCTCACTCTCTCGCTCTCTTCCACCTCACTCTCCCTTCCTCTCTCTCCCTCTTCCCTGTTCCTAGTTTCCCTCTCTCTCTCTCTCTCTACATATATTCGTTTGTTTTATTATTTGCTCTGTCTCCACCACGATGAGTATACTCTTATAGTGGTGGTGATGGTGATGCGTTTCTTTCTCCAATCGCTCCCCGCCCTCTCTCTTTTTACTCTCTCTCTCTCTTTTCCTTTGGCTCTCTCCCTCTCTGTCTCTCCACTCGCCTCTCGGCTGCCGTCTCTTACGGTTGCCACCTGTCCCGGGTTTTTCTCGGGGATCGTCGTCTTGTTGTGAATTATTATTTCTGCTGTTACTAGCAAACATAATTATAATAATAACTTCTGTGAGACGATGTTCATGATGAGATATTAATTGTGAGATGTTAATTGTGAGATGTTAATTGTGAGATATTCATGGTGAGATATTCAATGTCAGATATTCACTGTAAGATGTGCACTGTGATATCTTCATGGTGAGATATTCACTGTCAGATATTCACTGTAAGATTTCCACTGTAAGATATTAATAGTGAGATATTCATGGTGAGATATTCACTGTGACATATTCACTGTTAGATAGTCACTGTTAAATATTAATGGTGAGATATTCATGGTGAGCTATTAATGGTGAGATATTCACTGTTAGATAGTCACTGTTAGATATTAATGGTGAGATATTAATGGTGAGATATTCATGGTGAGATATTCACTGTTAGATAGTCACTGTTAGATATTCATGGTGAGATATTAATGGTGAGATATTCATGATGAGATATTCATGGTGAGATATTCATGGTGAGATATTCACTGTAAGATGTTCACTGTGAGATATTCATGGTGAGATATTCATGGTGAGATATTAATGGTGAGATATTAATGGCGAGATATTCATGATGAGATATTCATGGTGAGATATTAATGGTGAGATATTCATGGTGAGATATTCACTGTTAGATAGTCACTGTTAGATATTCATGGTGAGATATTAATGGTGAGATATTCATGATGAGATATTCATGGTGAGATATTCATGGTGAGATATTCACTGTAAGATGTTCACTGTGAGATATTCATGGTGAGATATTCATGGTGAGATATTAATGGTGAGATATTCGTGATGAGATAGTAATGGCGAGATATTCATGGTGAGATATTCATGGTGAAATATTCACTGTAAGATGTTCACTGTGAGATATTAATGGCGAGATATTCATGGTGGTATATTCATGGTGAGGTATTCACTGTGACATATTCACTGTTAGATAGTCACTATTAGATTTTCATGGTGAGATTTGAATGGTGAGATATTCATGGTGAGATATTCATGGTGAGATATTCACTGTGACATTCACTGTAAGGTGTTCTCTGTGAGATACTAATCGTGAGATACTCTTCATTTACTTCGCACGACACGTCCCGGACTTTACGTACCTCATTGGTGGCAACCTTCCCCTCACCCTCTCCCCTCCCTCAATCCCTCACCCTCTCCTCCCATCTCTCTTCGCTCTCCCCCCTCTCTCTCTTCTCTCGCTCTCGATCACCCCCCCACCCCGCCCCGCTCTCTCACTACCCTCATCGCAAAGGCGGGGTGCGTGCACTCATTTCCATTGACGTCAGAGCAGCCGACGTCACGACGGGGAGGTTGAGTGGGGGGGTGGCGTGGGTGGTGGAGGTGGAGGGGCGGCTTGGGGGTGGGGGGGAGGATTGAGGGGAGGGGCGGCCCACAACGTGTGTCTAGACATGGGGACGAGTTTCCGATCCGAAATAAGCCAATAAGGCTGATTCTCCGGGTACCCAGGCTACGCACTGCATCATAACAACAACAAGGATAAATCACATGTGTATATCGGATGCGGCTCAGTTCTGTAGGATTCAGATTCAATTGCCGCGCCGGGAAATCGAACCGTGGGGACGCTTCATTGATCACAAGTTCTCTTCCGCTAATCCCTTCCTCCGTTGCAGCATCCATCCTTATATTAATATAATACTAACAATTATAATAATCATCTTAATTATTATAATGAATACACGCCGTTTGTCGATTCACTGCTGGATGAAGGCGTCACTCCACGCCGTGTTGGCCGTGGGGTTCCAGTTTGGCCATACTTCTCCACGGTGGTCATGGGATTACAGGTTGGCCATACTTCTCCACGGTGGTCATGGGATTACAGGTTGGCCATACTTCTCCACGGTGGTCATGGGATTACAGTTTGGCCATACTTCTCCACGGTGGTCATGGGATTACAGGTTGGCCATACTTCTACACGGTGGTCATGGGATTTTATTTTAGCCATGCTTCTCCACAGTGGTCATGGGATTACAGGTTGGCCATACTTCTGCACGGTGGTCATGGGATTACAGGTTGGCCATACTTCTCCACGGTGGTCATGGGATTACAGGTTGGCCATACTTCTGCACGGTGGTCATGGGATTACAGGTTGGCCATACTTCTCCACGGTGGTCATGGGATTACAGGTTGGCCATACTTCACCACGGTGGTCATGGGATTACAGGTTGGCCATACTTCTCCACGGTGGCCATGGGATTACAGGTTGGCCATACTTCTCCACGGTGGTCATGGGATTACAGGTTGGCCATACTTCTCCACGGTGGTCATGGGATTACAGGTTGGCCATACTTCTCCACAGTGGTCATGGGATTACAGGTTGGCCATACTTCTCCACGGTGGTCATGGGATTACAGGTTGGCCATACTTCTCCACGGTGGTCATGGGATTACAGGTTGGCCATACTTCTACACGGTGGTCATGGGATTACAGGTTGGCCATACTTCTCCACGGTGGTCATGGGATTACAGGTTGGTCATACTTCTCCACGGTGGTCATGGGATTACAGGTTGGCCATACTTCTACACGGTGGTCATGGGATTACAGGTTGGCCATACTTCTACACGGTGGTCATGGGATAACAGGTTGGTCATACTTCTCCACGGTGGTCATGGGATTACAGGTTGGCCATACTTCTCCACGGTGGTCATGGGATTACAGGTTGGCCATACTTCTCCACGGTGGTCATGGGATTACAGGTTGGCCATACTTCTCCACGGAGGCCATGGGATTACAGGTTGGCCATACTTCTCCACGGTGGTCATGGGATTACAGGTTGGCCATACTTCTCCACGGTGGTCATGGGATTACAGGTTGGCCATACTTCTCCACGGTGGCCATGGGATTACAGGTTGGCCATACTTCTCCACGGTGGTCATGGGATTACAGGTTGGCCATACTTCTCCACGGTGGTCATGGGATTACAGGTTGGCCATACTTCTCCACGGTGGTCATGGGATTACAGGTTGGCCATACTTCTCCACGGTGGTCATGGGGTTCCAGTTTGGCCATACTTCTCCACGGTGGCCATGGGATTACAGGTTGGCCATACTTCTCCACGGTGGTCATGGGATTACAGGTTGGCCATACTTCTCCACGGTGGCCATGGGATTACAGGTTGGCCATACTTCTGCACGGTGGTCATGGGATTACAGGTTGGCCATACTTCTCCACGGTGGTCATGGGATTACAGGTTGGCCATACTTCTCCACGGAGGCCATGGGATTACAGGTTGGCCATACTTCTCCACGGTGGTCATGGGATTACAGGTTGGCCATACTTCTCCACGGTGGTCATGGGATTACAGGTTGGCCATACTTCTCCACGGTGGCCATGGGATTACAGGTTGGCCATACTTCTCCACGGTGGCCATGGGATTACAGGTTGGCCATACTTCTCCACGGTGGTCATGGGATTACAGGTTGGCCATACTTCTCCACGGTGGTCATGGGATTACAGGTTGGCCATACTTCTCCACGGTGGTCATGGGGTTCCAGTTTGGCCATACTTTTCCAGGGTGGCCATGGGATTACAGGTTGGCCATACTTCTCCAGGGTGGCCATGGGATTACAGGTTGGCCATACTTCTCCACGGTGGTCATGGGATTACAGGTTGGCCATACTTCTCCACGGAGGCCATGGGATTACAGGTTTGCCATACTTCTCCACGGAGGCCATGGGATTACAGGTTTGCCATACTTCTCCACGGTGGTCATGGGATTACAGGTTGGCCATACTTCTCCACGGTGGCCATGGGGTTCCAGTTTGGCCATACTTCTCCACGGTGGTCATGGGATTCCAGATTGGCCATACTTCTCCACGGTGGTCATGGGATTACAGGTTGGCCATACTTCTCCACGGTGGTCATGGGATTACAGGTTGGCCATACGGTGGTCACTGCGGCCTGGTTAAGCGGGGGGTTGGGGTGATGGAGCGAAACCAGAATCGGTTCAGATATCACTCGCTACTGATGTTAGTCGTCGCCTGGAATCGGACTCAGGTGGCAAGACACACGCAACAGGTCACTCATTCTCGCCGGAAGGTGCCAGAGGACTATGGCACTGACGTTGAGCCGTGTATTGCTCGAGCAACGGCATTACCCGTGTCTGCATCACGGGCAGGGGAGTTGCGTCAAGGAAATATGTACGTATGTTGAACTTCTTTCGCACCGTACGTAGCCAATCAAAGTGTGCGGGGGAACAACCACACTAAACACAAAAAGCAGTTCCGAAGAAAATGAGTTTTCAATCGAGGCGATTCGAACGCGCAAATCTCCAGTGGCGTGCTGATGCCCGCAGGAAAAGCGTTGCGGAAGCGCATCCGAAAGCGCCGCGCGATGCGGTAGATTGCTCCGTCTCTATTCCATTGCCAGCCAAAAGCCGCCGCCGCCGCCTGCCCCCTGCCGCCTGCCCCCTGCCCCCTGCCGCCACCGCCGCTGCGATTGTGACCGCAGTCCGCGTCACGGGAAGTAGAAAGCCAACACACCGTGAGGAGTGGCAGGGAGATTTAAAAAAAAAAGCATCGCAAGATCGCCCACTCTCAAGGAGGCCTCAGATCGCTCACGCGATGGGCCTTCGTTCCGGGTTGCAGTCTGTGGACTCCTGGACGGTGAAAGAAGATTCACGTCGTTCCGTCGGACGTTGCTGGAAGCGGCTCGTGGGATGTCAAAGGGAAAGGGGGCAACTTCGCCATCGCTTCCTTGCCTCCTCCTTCGACATCCCGATACAATCGTTCTTACCGCATTCGTCGGATTTTAGGACGCACCTTTTGTCCCTCCTGTATTTGAAATCAAATGTTTGGAGCGGTGCGTCTTATAATCCGGTAGGTATGTGTGTTTTTCCGCGTGCGGCGAACGGTGGTGTAGCGCTGAACCCGGCTCGATTATCGCTCGCGGCCGCCAAGACCAGTGACGATTATCTGAACCGGTCCTGGGCCTCCCCTAGGTCGACTCAGCCTCAAATGAGTACCTGGTGCGGTGTAGTAAACATCGCCACTGGGGAGACAAAGGCGGCCGGGCGTGGTGCTGGCCACCCACCCCCTCGTGTGCCGTGCCGGCCTTCACAGGTGCTGCCCGCTAACAGCGCTTGCCCCAACGGTCTGCTCAGGGATCTTTGTCCTTGTGACGGTAACGACACGTGCCTAACGTTACACACCTCAGCTGTGATAGCAAGGTCAGCCATCTGTGTCGAGCCAACGTTGGCACGAGGTTGGAACCGTTGGCTCAACACGTTTGGTTGAAACGTTGAGCCAACGTTGAGCCAACAACCTCCCATCTTTACTGGATGTGCGCTTTATTATGGGAGGGAGGGGAGGCGCTTTTTTGTCCGCACGGCAAGCACTTGTTGACACCACGTGATGTATGGAGCATTTAAAATCCAGACGTGAAGGTGATGTCGCTTGTGTACCCATGAAAGCCCCGAGCCTCATTTTCACGAGGGTGCCACCACATTTGGATGTTTTGGCCTTGAATTCCGATGTTGACGAACGAGAGCTTGGCTTCGTTCGGGTAGAAACGGGGGACGCCCCGGAGAAAACCCAGCACCTCGCCTGCTGTGGACGAGGGTGTAAGGGTGGGGGGGGGGGGGGGAGTCACACTCAGCCCCGCCACCTCCTGGCCACCACCTCACTGCAGCCCCGCGCCTACAACCCCTGGCAAGCCCCGTGTGTTGCAGGTGGTCACCCGAAGCGCGTGCTAACCAGGCTCATCTCCTGCTTAGCTACCGAGATCGGAGGAGGCTGGCAGCGTTAAGGTGAATGATTTGGCTATAGCCGCGCGCATCATAGGCACATCAACGATCCCCCGTGCAGCCTTTGCAGACTGTTGGGACAAGCGCTGTTAGCGAGCACTTATGGAGGCCGGAACGACGCACGAAGGGGGTGGGTGGCCAGCACCACGCCCGGTCGTCTTTGTCTCCCCAATTGGCGACGTTTACACACCGCACCGGGTCCTCATTTGAGGTACAGTGTATGTGTCAACCAAGTGGAGGCCCCGGACCGGGTCAGATCATCGTCACTGGGTGTTGACCGAGTTCCGGAATCGAACTCGGTCGATAGCCGGGTTCGTAGCGCAGCGCAGCGCTCACCGCTACACTCCCTACACCAGCACGACGATGACACACAGAGGGAGAGGTCTTGTGCGGGTGCTCTGTGAATTTGCAGGATCGTAAATGATAGTGGCGACTTGGGGAGGCCTCCATCCAGCAGTGGATTGATGCGAATGATGATGACGACGATGATGATGACGATGGTGCAAACACGTCCCACCCACCACGTAAATGTACTTCAAAGGCAACGACCCCACGTGTAGCCTTGAACTGACTGCTGCGGACAGTGCTGTTAGCGAGCACCCTTTGAAGGTCAGCGCACCACACGAGGGAGTGGTGCGGCTAACACCTCGCCCGGCCGCCTTTATTCCCCAGTGGGAATCGACCTCGGGGTCGCCGGGTTCATAACGCAGTGCGATAACCGATCCACCGTCGCGCACAAAGACAAAGGTCCCCCAGTGTAGCCTTAACAGACTGTTGGGGCAAGTGCTGTTAGCGAGCACACATGAAAGCCGGCACGGCACGCGATGGGGTGGGTGACCAACACCACGCCCGGCCGCCTTTGTCTCCCCAGTGGTGATACTTTCACACCGCACCAGGTACTCATTTGAGGCTGAGTCGACCTAGGGGAGGCCCAGGACCGGTGCAAATAGTCGTCACCGGTGTTGGCCGTGAGCGGGAATCGAACCCGGGTCGCCAGGTTCGTAGCGCAGCGCGCTAACCGCTACCGATCCACCATCGCACACGCGCACACGCGCACACGCACGTACGCACACACACGCAACATCATTGTCCGGACGAAGATTCCACGCCACTTTGGTGTGGGTGTGAGGTGAGGTGGGGGACCCGGGTAGCCCAACCCTTACTCGGCATTATAGATCAGCCCCCCCCCCCAATCACCCACTCACCACCTCCGCTCACCCCATGCTATATTATTAATACAATTTAGCTGGCTGGCTGGCTGCAATGTCCAGAGGACGTGCGAGCCGCGAGATGTTTGCAAAATACAAAACCTCAACACATTCGTCAATAGCACTGCGTGTGGAGTTAAAGGGAAATAAGAAAATGTCATCTATAGGCGACGTTTCGGGCAATGGCACTAACTCACGGCACATTATTTTGTGCTTACTCCACCACCTGTGCCAACGAAACATCACCGAATCATGCGTTCCTCTTGCCCGTTAGCTCCGCGTGTTTGTGACATATATAACGGTGATTAAAATATATATACGTGGTGATGGAGCGATGCAAATCCGCTGCACCGTGAGATTATCGATGTTAATCGATTCGCCAATTCGTCGTTACAGCCCCAATAATATTGATTGTTTCTCTTTTATAAAATATTCTGCAGCCCGTGCTGTAGACTCCCTTACCCCCTGTTCACGTCCGGGACCAAAGCACCTCCGGTTAGCACGGTTGGCTAGGTACGGCGAGAAAGAAGTTCAACGTACATACGTGCAAAGGATATCCTCTCATTCATCTGCCTCCGACTGCAGTCTCCCTCTCTCTCTAAAACAAACGTGATCACTGCGTCTCTGCAGTGGCTTGATATGCGGTCGCATTTAGATCCGTTGTAAGTGCACATAGCGTTGTATGCACCCACGCATACGGAGCAATCTACTCGTGCGTAGAGATCCATAAGCCCACGTAGAAAAATGTAGACTCACATAGAGACCCATAGACTCACATAGATACCCACGGATTCACATGGAGACAGACAGAATCACAAAGAGACCCATAGACTCACGTCGAAACACAGCCTCAAAATTTAGACTCATAAACTCATACATAGCGACCCATCGACTCACACAGAGGACCACATAATCACATAGATACCCATAGACTCACATGGAGACAAATGCTCACATAGAGACCCACATACTCACTTAGATGCCCATTGACTCACACAAAGAGAACCACAGACTCACCTAGTGTACAGACCTATGTAGGCCCCTACACAAATGACTATTCCCACTGTAGAGACAAAGACTCACATAGAGACCCACAGACGCACGTAGATATTCATAGACTCACACATAGAGATCCATAGACTCACATAGAGACCCACACATAAAGACCCATAGACTCACACAGAGACAAATACTCACATAGAGGCCCACAGACTCACATAGAGATCCATAGACTCATACATAGACACCCATAGACTCACATAGAGACCCATAGACTCACACATAGGGACCCATAGACTCACACATAGAGACCGATAGACTCACATAGATACCCACACATAGAGACCCATAGACCCACATAGAAACAAATACTCACATTTAGACCCGCAGCATCACATAGAGACCCACACATAGAGACGCATAGATTCGCATAGAGACCCACAGGGCATCACATAGAGACATATGAAGGCCCTTACGCAAATGACTATTCGCACTGTTTCTAAATGGCAGTGCGATTCAACGGCCATTCTAATTGTGCTCATTCCGGGAGCAGGGGAATAACAACAACAACAACAATAATATAACATAACACTCAACAAAGTGAACGGCCATCGTAGATTTCTCATCTCATCTCGTCGTAACTCGAGGCTCTGATTAATACTATTAATATACTATTACTATATTATTACTATACTATTAATACTATTGATATACTATTAATATGCACGGTGGTACGCTATGAGCTCGGCTGTGCATTGCTTCTCAGCCGAGGCCGTGAACAGCATAACAAGCATTTGTCTCTGCTCCCCCCCTCCCCTCCCCACTACTGCCCCCCCTCCCCACTACTGCTCCCCCCCTCCCCACTACTGCCCCCCCTCTACCCACTGCCCCCCCCTCTACTCCCACAATGATAGACGCTGACGTCAGTGTGTGGGCGGGCCTGACTCACGCGAGCCGCCGCGCAGCATCCTAACTGCGCCCGAGTCAAGCGGTTCACGCGCGGCGGGGAGACAAAGGCGGTCGGGAGGAGGGAGGGCGGTGGTGGCGAGCGGGGGGGGGACGCAAGCAGCACACAGGACGACACACACACATGAAGGCAAAGATCCCCCGTGTAGCCTGTAACAGACTGTAGGGGCAAGTGCTGTTTGCGAGCACCTATGAAGGCCGGAACGGTACACGAGGGGGTGGGTGGCCAGCACCACGCCCGACCACCTTTGTCTCCCTAGTGGCGATATTTACACACCGCACCAGGTACTCATTTGAGGCTGAGTCGACCTAGGGGAGGCCCAGGACCGGTTCAGATAATCGTCACTGGTGTTGGCCGTGAGCGGGAATCGAACCCGGGTCGCCAGGTTCATAGCGCAGCGCGCTAACCGCTACACTACCGCTCCCCACACACACATGTACACACAGGCAAATAGTGATCCAAACCATCGCTCAATGTCACATTGGTTCGAAATGTCTTCGGGTGAACTTAAATGTGAATGCGCGTACGTTTTATAATGCAGGGGAAACGAACGGTGGCACGTGGATGTGCGGCGCGTTTGAGAATCCTCCGCTGGATGAGGACCCCCCCCCCCCTCCCGCCTCCGACGCCACGAGAACGATCAAAATCGTGCGGAATGCACCGGAATATTTCAGAGGCTGAGCGAGGATTTTGAGGCTGTATAGCGCCTGGATTTGGAATGCACACGAGGATGTTCATATCGGCTGCTTCGGGGGCCAAGCGTGACGCGCCGATGTTAAATGAATGTGTTAAGCAAAGAGTCCCTCTTATACAGACTACACAGTACTCATCGTGCATGGGGCTACGTTGTGGGTAGCAGAGGGCGGTGAAGTAATATATATACACAGTGTCTCATAAGCATGAAATCATAGGGAAAATAATGCAAAAAATGCAGTAATAACGCTTTTATTCACAGCACGTGCTGAATGTGTCCACCATTGTTCCTGAAACGCAACTCCAGACGAGATACCCAGTCAGCAAGCACACGGCTCAATTGCATCAGGGGCGACGGTGTTACGTGCGTCATTAATGCGTTGCCGCAAATGTTCAACGCTCTGAAATTTTTCTCCGCGTTTACCAGCGCCGCCTTCAAGTGACCCCGGAGATTAAAAAAAAAAACTCCCAGTGGTGTGAGATCGCGGCTTCCTCGCTGGCCATTCCGCAGGCACTCGACGTCCTATCCAATGGCCAGGTGAAATAGTAATTGTGTGTTTTTTTCTTCCATCCGATTCCAGACGCACGGGACACCCTTTAAATTGTTGTACAGTATTTTGCTGATATGTTACCGCGTCCAAGTACGCACCCCGCCTGTACCACTCTACACTGCCCGACTCGCGCGGTGAAGTATGGTTGTTATATCCGCACGGCGCGGGGGAGACTCACATCCGGCAGTTGCCCGTCAAAGGGCCGTGCGTGAATTACGACGATGATGATGATGATGATTATTAATCCCATGTTAATTTTAAACATATTCAAGTGTGACGTTATGATGGCATCATATATGGGTGGTAGCTGCCGTGCAGTTGGAAGGTTGTGAATTCAATAATGTTGCGTCGTGAACCCTCCTCCACCCGACACAGCCGATGAATAAAGGTGTCACGGTAATCAAATGTGCCAAATGTATTAACCACGGTTCGCTACATACGGTGCGAAAGAAGTTGTACATACATACATACATGCGTACATTACTGCTTCAGCTGGGCCACGGGTGTTGGTCTTGGGTATATAGACTTGCTACAATCACCATCAGCAACAGCCATGATCGATCTACTGCAATTGAATCATGAATTTGCCAAAGGGTTTTGGGCGAGCGATAAGTATCGTACGATAATGGTTTGAGCCGAAAGAACTGACTCTTAAAATACGTTTAACGAACATTGTAAACTTACGGTGATTCCACTGTTGGCTGAAAGCTTCCCCCAGCGCCGTGCGGTCACGGTATTTTCGTCCGAGCATGCTTCACCACGCTGGTCCGTCAGAGTATTCACGTAGCTAATTTGGTGTGGTGCAGCAGCGTACCGCCCACGCCGCGTGGGGTTTCGCGAGGGTGCTGTACGTCATTGACCTCGCAAAAAACAAGTCGGTAAAGTCGCTCAAGAGTCGGAGGCTTCAGGCAAAAAAAAGTGAAGTGGCTTGGCTCCTAAACAGATTGCCGGTGGCGGGAAAGAGGAGAGGGAAACACGCTTCATAAGGAGGCGAGCGCTATCCTTGGTGCTGAACTGAATTGCATTTTTCAGTTTCATTTATTAGGTATAGCCCTGTGAGCCATGCGGCTCTTGACTCGGGTGCAACCGCAACAAAACAAAAACACGAACAAGAAACATATTAAAGTGACTACACGCACCAGAAAAATCCTGGAAAAAAACGGCAAAGTCTTCCAGAAAAAAAAAAACACCGCATTCAAACGATGTGTGCAAAAATCCCAGTGGGATGCAAGTCAAACAATAACAACCATAAGACAATGTAGATTAAAGTTATCAGGCTAACTCTGTACTACAACAAACAAACATGGCTAAACCAAAAGTTTTCAAAATCACCAAAATAAAGCTATAAAAACAATGTAACAGTGCTCATAGGAACTGAGATTCAAATTTAACATACCATGTACGACCAAACTTTTCAGCCATAGTTGGCTACATGAGTCACTCCATAATAGCAGAAATATCAGTAGCAGAATTGAGGCGAGCGCTGTCCTCGGTGCTGAACTGAATTGCATGGGATGGCGGGCGCTTATAATGTATAATGCATCCGAATGAGGCGGTTAGTCTGAAGAGGCCCTCACCTGGTAGATAATCTGACTGCAGCTGGAGGCATGCACAACTCACGCCTCTCTATTTGTGGCTCAATGTTGCTGTCGTGATGGGGGTTTCACATTACTTACAAATTTTAATTATTGCTTTCCTTAAGCAAGTGATCATTGCGTCCCCATAGCGTAACACTGCAGGTCCTCTCCATATAGGAGGCTCCCAGAGGTATGTGACAGCAGCGAACATTGATGATTGCACCTCCGAATACGACGGCTAGCTACGTACGGTGCGAAAGAAGTTCAAAATACATGAGCCTTAATGACGACGAAGCCTGGCAGTAGGTGTGTCTTTGTATCTCTGCTGCCCGTTGTTGGGTGGTCCATTCTCGAAACGACAATACGGTATGGACCCACGTTCAGTTATTTTAAGCTGGTAGTCTGGACAAGGCTGAGAGTTATTGTAAATGCGACGCTGCGCATCCTTGTGTGTGTGTGTGTTGCTAAGCCTGTTTGTATCCAGCCAGCATTGACGTCTCCGTTGAATAACTGAGGGCGCTGTCCTCGGTGCTGAAATCGCCCTGCCGCTGTCCTCGGTGCTGAAAGCAACGCATCCGCCAGGTGGCGGCCGAGACACGCGGACGAACGTTGACGACTACACGCCAGAGTGCACACGAGAGGTGCCCGGAATAAACGGCACATCCGAGACCCGAACGTCATCGCACCCACTCCTGCTGGCTTTGACATTCCTCCCCGAAGACACCGCTTTTGACCATCCACTCACTCAGCCGCTCACCGACTCCCTCACCACTGGCAGAACCACCAATGGCAATGCGGGCACCAACAGGCCGATACGCTCGTCTCGTTCGTGAATGGGAAATTAAAGAGACGAGCCACGGCAGTACGATTCTAGCCGTGCAACACAAGCTATGGACCCATATAGTAAACACATGGAGACATATTGAGATGCATAGAGACCTTTCGAGGTGTATAGAGGCCCATCTAAATACATAGAGACTCATGGAGAAACATAGAGACACAGAGATGCATAGAAACCAAATGAAATACACAGATACTCATAGAGCTACACAGACACCCATTTGTACAAATTAAAGTTGAGAGGCGCCTCTACTATTACCGGAAACATCGCATGTTATGTTCATTTATTTTGCTCCTCTTAAGGCCACAGTGTAATTGACGAATTAATCGATGCTTTTTTTGTAAACATTGTTGTGAATTGCAGCGCCTCTAGTCGTCGCAGGGGGTGGGCGTGCGCTCGTGCACGCGTGGACCGAAACAAACCGATTCACACGCGCGCAATTCCATGCGTGCATTGCGATCTGAAGAATCAGTAACGATAATCGATTCGTCCACGCATCTTGCCACACTTACTGCACACGCCACATGCGCGTGCATGCGGAGGCTTTGTCTGCTACATGCGAAGAGAGATTGGATCTGTATCTGTATCCGCTCGCCTAGGTCGACCCAGCCTTATATGACCACCCAGTGCGGTGTTTGTTAGCATTAGCACTTCATTTTCATTTAGTTTTCATTTATTTGGTATAGCCCTGTGAGCCATTCGGCTCTTGAATCGGGTGCAACCGCAACAAACGAAAAACATGAACAAGAAAGCATCTTAAAGTGATTTTGTGACTGTGCAAACAGAAAATACAGGAAAAAAATATCAAAATATTCCTGAAATAGCACCGTACACCAACGCTGTGTGCAAAAATCCCAGTGGGATGCAAGTCAAATAACAACAACAACAACCACAAGACAACTAAGATTAAAGCCATCAGTCTAACTCCGTACTACAATAAACAATAACATGGCCAAAACAAAAAAAACTTTTCGAAATCACCGAAATAAAAGCCATAAATCCAATGTAACAGTGATCATAGGGACTGTCACCGAATTTTTAACAATAAACTACATAAATAAATTATAACACCAAAATCTAGAGCCATATTTTAGGCCACTGAATAGCAGTGGCAGCTAGGGTTGTACAACTCCTCTAGAGCAGTTTTGAGTGAAGATCTCATAGGTAGTGATTCAAGTTGCAGTGTATTGGCAATAGCATTCCAGACCCTGGGGGCATCAATAGCAAAGGCCCTTACTCCAGTTTTTGTACGGCAGTAGGGAATGTGAAGCTGGTAAATGAGCGAAGACCTGAGGTAAAATTTGTTATTTGAAACAGAGAGGAGATCCAGTAGGTAGTCTGCGGAATTTTTTGTAAGTACATCGTGAATAAATAAGATCTGGTGCACAAGCCGTCGAACATTAAGAGATGTTAAGTTTGACTCAATGTAGAGATCACAGTGGT